TCATTCAGAACAAAGCAGCTCGCATGATTGGCACTCTATCTTAAGATCTTCAGTATTCACTCCATCCATCACCGGTCCACTACAATTACAGCATTTTCTTTAGCCATCTACAAAATGCACTACAGTGATCTCCCAAGACTCCTTCAACAGTGCCTTCCTGATCCATGACTTCTCACACCTCAGAGCACAGGGCAACAGATATATGATATGAGTCAAGCAGTCATGGTGGCCTTGGTATCAATGCCTGAATTGGCAATAATTGACCTCTACGTTCCCGAAGGAATAAGACTTTTCGGTGTGGATCATAAAACATTAGTCATGAATAAAGACAAGATTAAGTTGACCATGATAGGTCCTGCAACTGAATAGTTTACCAACACTCATTCATAAGGATTATAAAGAACCTGAGTAAAGTTCTGGAAGGTTGGACGTGCCCATGGAACATTATATAAGCCTAAGTCAGCATTTTTAAGAGGGAGAAAAATTTAACTGCATTGTAATTATCTCCGAATTAAAAAGAATACAGTGAAACATTTACTTTGGGTGTTATGTAAAATTTTGTCACCAGGTATGTTTCATTATTAACTTACTATGGAAAGTCGCATAAGTTCCAAGAATCCAATCATTCACATAGGTTGTTATATAATTCTTAAGTTCTGAATTACTGTCAGTTATTGTTGTCTGATATCCATCACCATTGGTGGACCTGTAACATTGCTTCGCATTAGCCTTTTAAATAGCTCAAAATTCCTTTCTCTGGCTGATCTCGAATCTAGAAAGGCAATATGGTGGATATAATGTGGAAAAGAAACCTAACTGACCGCACTCTAAGTTTACTATATTTGGGAACAAAAATGATAGCTCAAATGCAGTTGGCTAAAAGCTCTAAAATGCCTAGTTTATTTTTAAAAAATGAGTAATAATATTTAAAGTGCCAAATTCTCACAGTATTAAAATGTATGGATGGCTTTTAGATTTATAGTATGAAGTGTATAGACCAAGAAAAAGCTCAAATGTTGGACTGTAAATAAGCATAAAGGACTTACATAATCTGCTGAGCAAGGCGCAAAATCAAAAATTGTTTTTCTCAATTCAGGAAGGTTGCTTTAAAGAAAACATGACCCAGGACAGTGTTACAACAGGACCATGTAACTGGGGCTCAAGGAGATATTGCTCGGATCAGGGATGGGACTGCTGCGCTCTGGTCAGTGGCTGGGGGTCTGAGCCGGAAGCAGCATCAAGGTCCATAATTTCCATTCCTGTCTGGCCCAATGTCATTTTGTTATTGAAACGTAATAATAGAAGGTGGAGACTGTAGGCAATGCTAATGTAGCTGTGATTGTAGATTACCTTGCCAAAAGTTTGGCAAAAGAAGCTGAGGCTCTTCAGTGATTTGTAATGAGTGTTAATGAATGTGCTGCATTTGCTTTTGTGTAATTAATTTTCTTTGTAATTCTAGACACTAGTTTTGCCATCCAAAGCAGGAGATATAGTGGACATCCAATCTGTTATTCAGTAACAGTTTACCATAATCTGGGTTAATTGTCTGGCATATGTTAATTCAGTGTGGGAAGAATCTTTTAAAAGACACAGGTTCCAGCTAAGATGAAGAACACAAATGGTGCAACTGTTGAAACATTTGATCTGAAACATTTATATTTTATAGTTTGAAGTTCTGTAATGATATCTTTTATTTAGCTATGCAAGTTGATTAATGTTTTACAGCAGTAGTTTGATTCAAAATAAGGCTTGATAGATACATGAGAGATAAGTGGGTAGAGCATTGTAGAACAGGGTAAGAAGAAGTAATTAGAATGGAGGTGGCTCATTAACATTGACATAAACCGTTCTGGCTTAATGGCCTCTTTCTGTGTTCAGTTTGATTCATGCTGATATGCCCAGTTTCTGTTACTTGAATTTATAGCATGCTGGAAGCAGTCATGGTGTTGTTCTACTTGCCAAGTGTATGTCTCAGCTTTATTCCAACATTAAATGAGAGGGAAAAGTGGCATCTGTTAGAACATCTACAGAACCTTCCTTAATTTTATGGCAGATTAAAAAAAAGTTAATTCACTGAGGAATCATTAAGTAAAAAGCTGCTAATATTAGAAGACCATTACAGATCTCCATGTCTTTGGCTATAGAAAGTTCCCAGTAAAAATAAAGCTTATACACAGTTGTAACAGATCACTAAAATTATTGACACAAGGATTGCTTGAAGTTTGGCTGCGATGCAGTACATTCAGCACTGACATTGAGGCTTAAGATTATGAAGTGATTTCTTGTTCCTAACAGCAAGCGATTCATTGGAACTTTTGAAGTTTAGTAAGGAAAAAAAAATTGCTCTTTGACTGGGACTACAACAAGTATCTGTATTGGACCTAATAAAGTTATCTTAGTATTTTTGAGATTTAAGTTTATACATTATGATGTCACTTGAAATTTTATTTAGAACTACAGCTCTTGTGCTAATGAAATTGAAGCTTGTGATTGTGATTGTGTTATCAGGCACAACAGATATATCCTTTTAAATTTATTGTAAGTCTGAAATGTGGACAAATTATTTATCATGATGATTCCTGTTACCTGTCAACATGGTCCACAAAAATAAAAATAACTTCTTCCTTTTTGAAGTTACACATCATTGAAACTAATTGGTCAGCATTCACAAACTACATTGGTCATAGTCTGAAAATATTTTATTCTCTCTCAAGTCTAACTCCGATGTTTTGATTTAATTTAAATAATTTCTTTTGTGTGAAGTGTCTTGCTTCTTTACTGTCAATATGTTGTTTCTCTTCAGCTTTCAGATTATGCCTTCACACACATAGTTGACTTCAAGATGCTAGTTAGGAAGAAGACTGACAATTTTAAGTAATCTTGACAAATAAGTGAAGGAAGGTCCCTGTGCAAACAACCTGCTAAAACTAGAAAGCCAGTTGACAGAACCAGAACTTGACAAGCTAAGAAACAATAAGGTGACCAAATACTGGTGGAAATGGTTAATAGGCCACTAAGCATTAGTTGTACTGCTGGGAACAACACAGATCAGGAAATCAGAGGTACCTGCAGCAAGGGGAACGCAGTAACCTTGGGAGACTTCAACCTACATATAGAATGGGTGCATTTAATGAGTAGGAAGAATTCCTGGAATATGTTGAGAGAGTCTTCTGGAGCAATCTGTTGAACAACTAGATAGGAAGCAGGACATTTTTACATCTACTATTATGTGGTGAAAAAGGCAAATTAAAATATATTTGCGGAAGAATCTTTTAGGGAATAGTAATCATAATATGATAGAATTTTTCATTTCCATTTGAAAAAGATGCAATTCAATTTGAACTCGGAGCCTTCTACCTAAACAGGGCAATTATGAGGAAGATGTTGGCTGTGGTGGATTAAAAAGCATTAAAAGATTTGATAGAAATCAGCAGCTAGCATCAAAAGAATTATTGCTTGGATTTCAAAAAATATACATTCCTTTTAATGCATAAATAGTCAAAGTGAAAAGCAAGAGACCCTTAACTGATGACAATAGATTAATATAGCATTACATTAAATGAAGATGCTTATAAAGTTGCCAACGAAAGTTTTAAGCTTGAAGTTTGGGGTGTGTTTTTAGAATTCAGTGAAGGAGAACCAAGAAATTGATAAAGTGTACCACGTAAATATAAAATAGCAAGTATTGTAAAAATAGATTCTAAAAGCTTCTGTAGGTATATAAAAAGGAAACGATTAACGAAGAAAAATGAGAGTCAATTATAGGCAGAGACCAGAGTATTTATAATGAGAAATAACAAAGACATTAAATAAATATTTTATGCTCTCTTCACAGAGGAGGACCCATGAAGGCTCCTTGGAAGTAAAGATTTAAGGATCTAGTTAGTGTGTGGAAGTGAAAGTTTTTTTTAGAAAAGGTAGTTTTGGAGAATTTAATGGGACTGAAAGTTGACAAATCCCCAGGACCCAGTGATCTTCACCCTAGAATGTTGAAAGAGATGGCTACACTAGTGATCATCTTTCTAAGTTCTGTTAATTTTTTGCAATAGTGCCTGCAGAATGGAAGGTTGCAAATATAACCCTACTGCTGGAGAGAGAGAAAATAGGAGCTACGGACCTGTTAGCTAGCTGTCAATAGTAAAGAAAATACCAGATTCTATTATAAAGAATGTAATTACAGATATTTAGTAAATAATTGTCTCATGAGGCAGATTCAACATGGATTTATGATATCATGTTTAACAAATCTGATACTTTGAGGATCTTACTAGCAGTGTCAATAATGGGGAAACAGTGGATGTGGTATATTTGGATTTTCAAAGGGCTTTTTATGTTCTACACAGGAGGTTGATGAACAAAATTACAACATATGGGAATTGGGCTAGTATACTAGCATGGATTGAGGAATGGTTAACAGACAGAAAGCCAAGAGTTGGAATAAATAGGTCATTCGCAGGCTGACATGCTGTGGCCAATGGAGTCTGCAAGGGTCAGTGCCATTAGGCCACAATAACCTACAAGTCAGATTTGGATGTGAAGGCCAACTTGTAATATCTCCATGTTTGCAATGTTTTCTAATTCCAGCTCTAATATTTTGACCATTCTCTCAGTCTTAGTCTCCCCATCCTCTGGAAATAGTTTCTGCTCAAACTGATTTAAGACCTTAAATTTCACTCATGTCACTCACTAACTTGCTAAATTCCAGGGAATACAACACTTACGCTAAATCTCCTCTTAGTTACATAACCTGTGGAGTCTATAATTCTGGTAAATCTCTGTTGCATTCACCTTAAAGCTAGTATATTCTTCCTCAGGTTTTCATCAGACCTGTACAGTAGTTTCAAGTTATCAGAATTTTGACAGTCAGATTCTGCTTTGTAGTTCTACCAAAAATGCCTCACTTTAGAATAGTAATATTATAATACTGTACTATAAACTTTGGAGCAAGACTGTACTACAGATATCTCTTTGGTTTCTAATGGTTATCCTTTGATATGCAGATTGGAGCAGTGAGAGAGTGCAACTACTTTCTAATATCGGTCTGCACCTGTCATGCTGGCCACAGCCTCGCTGTACAACAGTGTTCACAAGTGGACAAACTCTGACCGAATCTGGATGTGTGGCATTAAGGAAGATAGGTGAGTAACATTGGAAAGATTATTATCTGGTTGGGCCTGTCAATCTACTTTACATTTGCAAATATGCTGAATTATAGCAGAAAAACAAACTAAAAGAACTTGAAAAGGCCATAGGACCCAACAAACCAACCACTTTTGCCTGATCACAATCAAACCTATCTGAACTTTCATCATACCTTAAAATTTTTTTCTGCTCAAGAAACAATGAGGTAATTTTAACAAAAAAAAGAGTTTGAAAACAGAGGTGGTTAAACAATTTGGGAGGAAGCCGACTGCAATTTGCTGCATCTACTGTACTTTTATCTGCAGCATATTCAGCTTCACATAAGAAACTGTCACTCAGGAGAAGCAGGATACTAATTTAAGTATTTTACAAGGCTATTAGCAACTGGTATGAAATGTACTTTTCAAATTTAACTCTAGAGTAATGGGTTTTGCAAGCTTTTGCAGATTTAAAGCAACGTGAAAGGGCAATGGACTTAAAGGGACTGAACAAATTGGAGACAGAAAAAATCCTGTAAACACTGAGACTTCACATGTGCTTCTTTATCTAAATGAAAGACTTTTTCCCAAGAGACTTGTTTTGAGAGTGTGCTTAGGCAACTTCGGAGGTGGCTTCCAATACTTCAGTCATCTTCACTAATTGGATTTTTATATGTTTACATCTTCCATCTGTTAAATATCAGTTTAGCATGGTGTGTCTTGTATAGTTTTATTGAGAACCAAAATGAAAAGGAGCAGCCTACTGCTGCACAGTAGAGGGGACAATGAGCATAAAATTCAGCTTTCCGAAAGCAATATCGTCATACACTATGCACAGGCAATAGATGGCCAATGGATGCTCATTATCTTGTCATGCAGTCACTACATTGGCAGCATCCAGTCAAGTGAACTAGATGAGTAAACATGTGCACTAGGCAATGAGGAATTTGTACCCCTCCTTTTCCTGCTGCTCCTTTGTTGTGCAACCCTGTGATTTTAACAGGGATAGCTTCTATCCTTGCTTTGGCTACACAGCTGATCTTGGCCAACATCCTTCTGTGCTTTTAAGACTGAGTGAGTGCTTTGTCATGGACTACATTCTGCACCTTTTGAGAGGAATCTGCATTTCCATGTTTCTTTACTCTTTTCCTTTTATTACCCACCCACATTTCCCTGTGACTAATGCGGTGGAGTGCTGCCCATCAGCGATGCCCTGAAGAGCCAAGGCTAAGTTTTTGTCCTGTTTAAAATGTCCCGCAAATGTGTATACCATTATTGAGTGTCAACACGCACTTGTTTGACTTCCATATTTGATAAATCTTTCAGGTTGCTGCTTTCTTTCCAGGAATGTAGACATCTTTTGATGTGACCTTCAACCACGTGGCTCTCTTGCATGAGATAGTTTTCTCTAATCTGTCTCCAAATTTTAATAGTGCAGCTGGAAAAGCTACTGGAACCTTTCTTGTACTGTTGTTGCTATTCCAGAATTACTGGCCATGTTCAGCCTCAAGGCCAGCTGATCTGAGCACTCTGGATAATGTGCCCTCCAATGGGTAATCTATGCAGCTGTCTCTGTATCCACCATCTGCTATTGCTCACCAGTGATGTGTGAGACAACATCATGTGAAAACCCAACTATCTGTCTTGGCAGTTCTACCAAGGCATATGTAAATGAATTACTGCATGATTCTTACGATTGTGTCCCCTCAGAATAATTGACTTCCTCTGAGATATCTTCATCCTCTTCCTGCCTGTGGGAAATGAAAAATGATGAATTAGGACTGTCTGAGTCAGAAATTGATAAGTCAATGTTGAAATTAACAAAAGAATGTTGTGAGTCATGTGACTGCAAAATTTGATTCTGTCACCATGTGGCATAGCATCAGGAATGCCAAGACTCTGCTCATCTTCAGATACACCAATCTTTAAGCCAAAGTTTTAACTCTGACTTTATTTATCCTATGCCAGATTGCCTGTGGCTCAAGTAATAATCTTGAAATTATTACGTTGGAGGTTCTGCTTTTTAACTACTAACTGCTCAAAGTCTTTCCGCAGGACTTCCTCTCTAGACCTACCAATGTTATCGGTGCCAATGTGGACAACGACTACTGGGTCCCTCCCATTGCTCTCTGAAGTTCTTCTCCAGACCTGTAGAGATTCCTTAATCCTCGCACTGAGCAGGCAACACAGCCTTCTGGATTTCCATTAATGACTGCAGAGAACAATATACGTCTCCCTAATTATATTGTTCCTACAACAAAAGTAAAATTTCTAATTCCACCCACCACCACCACCACCATTTGGTTCCCTGTACCAAGTTGCCATAGTCAGTTTGCTCATCTTTCTTGCAGGTTTCAGCATGTCCCCACATCTTGCAAGAGCCTCGTAACTTGGATAATGGCTGGGGCTGAGGCCCCTTAATTGTAACCCTCCTGGGTTCTTATACCTGCCTTATCTGCTGTCACATCCTCCTGTCCGTGGTCACAGAATGGTTTTGAATTGCCTGATCTGAGGGGTGTGACCACCCTCTTTTCAAAGTGCCTAGGTAACTTTCCCATTGTGGTGTAATGTCTGCAAGTAGGATTTGTAGCTCCTTGTTTGGGAGCTGTTTTCCTCCTGGGATGAGCGAAATTGAGCTGTTTGGGTAGATGAAAGTGGGCGTACAGCTATTACTTCTAGTGCAAGTGGGGAGATGCCCCAAGTGAGTGAGTAGGCTCTGCAGAAGTCACGCAGGATTAGTGGTGTCAGGAGTTCAAGTAGCTAAGATTGAGTGATGGAAAATGTTGCAGGCAATAGTAAGAGTGGTACATCATGAGTCTTAGAAGGAGATGATTGCAATAGCAGAGGTAGAATTAGTGTGTGGTGTTGTAGAGAACATAGTGCCACACATGCTGATGGAGTCGTGGGTCATTGACCTTCTCTCTGTATTGCTGTGCATTTCTCCAGATGGCTGACACCTGGATGGCACCTTAGATCAGGCTTGTAAGGGCTGATATCGTGGCTTCCAATCTGGTCTTGGGGGAAGGGGACATCCTGCATGTGCACCAAATTGTCCAACAGGATCTTTCCAGGTACCAACCTGCGAAGCAGGGTGCCAAAAATCCAAAGTCAGTTCCAGACTGACAGTGCTTGTCTAGGCTGCTGCCAGGGATGCTGGTCTATCCTGAGATATTCCGGCAGTGACGAGGTATTCCTGGAATTGCATGTGGCGAGATATCGGTTGAGGGGACGCTATAGGGTGGATTGGGAAGTTAATGTGGTGAGTTCAGTAAGATATAGTGAGAAAACCTGCTAGACCTTGCAGCAAAAAACCCTCCTAATGACTTGATGAAATTCAGACTGACTTTTTTTTGGCTAAGATTCAGCCCTATAACTGATCAGCTCCATACCAAAAAAAAATCTTAATTAAAGAAATGAATCATTATCAGAGGCCCAAGAACACTGAGCCTTGGTGATTAAGACATGTTCAGATAACTGAGGAGTGATGGTCAATTACAAGGGCTTAGACTCCATCACTGTGCAGCTGGTGTGCAACCACAAAAATATATTTACACAGGTGTGCATAATATTCCTAGGTAGTTCTTTTCTTCCACTATATCATTTCTTCCTTTTCTGATGTCTTACACCCAGAGTTCCCCAACTGGTTGCTTTAAGAGAAAGGATAACCACCTTTAAATTCCATGCTTTGCGAAATTCTCCTGTTGTTTTCATGACTATTTGAAATATATTGACTAATTTGACTGATTTCTTAATGCAGAGCTGCTTCTTTTTCTATCCAACAAGTTTGATGTTGATTATTTTAGTAAGATTATGTTACACTTGCTTCCACAGGTTAACATTGAGGTTTTCAGAAAAGTGGAAAGTTTCAAACATTTCTGTTGGTTTCTGTTTTCCATAACAGCAATGATTCAAAATCAGTTTTCTGTCTCCAATTTTTATTCTATACCATTAGTACAAATTGTGTTATAAAATATCTGAAATCATCTTACCTTTTTCTGTTGTTTTTGAGTTGTGGAAAGTATGCCATAATGGACAGCCAAGCGAAATGAGTAGCATCTCTTGTCTCGGTAACCAGATTGGTTGACCATAAGTTAAGATTTTCTTTCTATAATCATGGAAAGTCATCTTGCATTTGGTTTTAATTATTTTCATCATTGTGGTGTTCAACTAGTTGCATTAAAGGTGAACTTGTACTGAACTAAGTATAGGGCTTAAATTGTGTATTACTTTTTACAGGCATTATAGATGTCATTTATTCAATTGTGTGGTGAACGTTCTATTGGATAACAGAATTTTTGTTTTATTATTAAAAATGTGGAGTTTAGTCTTATTTAAGAGGATGATCTAGGATTCTACATTGACTCAGTCTTGTTGATCAGATGGATGATGGCTGCTTACCCACAGGCCTGGAAAACCTTTGTTCTGGCCGTTAGGTCACAACTTCATGGGCAGTGACACCTTTGCTACAAGGACACCTGCAAGAATTTGGCAGCCGTTGACAATGGTAAACTGGGAAATGGTTGCTGATAATGGTGATCTCTAGCAGCTGACTGTTTGCAAGGGCATTGGAAGAAGCAAACAAAAATGAAACCTCAACTGGCCAAGAGGAGGACTGAGAGAAAACAAGCCAACAAGTTGTTCACTTTCTCAGCCTGAATCTTGCTTTGTAGAAAGTGAAGCAGTGACTGCCATGCCAGAGTAAGACTCCAAAGACATACTCACACAATGCACCTAACTCAGTGCAGACAATTGTCATTGTCAGGAAACTGCCACTAGCAGGGCTGGAATTTAATGCTGACTGTTTAAAGTCAGTGGTGTGCAGCTAACTCAATGTATCAAGAAAAGATGAGTCACTCAGAGCTACCTCTCCAGTCAGTCATTGTGTTTGAAGTGGTATGTGAGGAGCCTATGATTCCTCATGAGGGAAGAAGAGAATCACTGGATGGAGGATGATTTTGGGAGGAAAGGGTGATCTTAGGACAGTTGAGGGGAATTTTGAAGAGGATAGGCAGATTTAA